TATGATGAAGTGAAAGGCTTAGAAGGCCTAAATTAGAGCTGCAAAATGCATAACTGCCTGTTTTCTATCCACTTTAGTGTTAATACCCCATTCAACTTTAAGCTTGAAGTAATGTGATGATTAACTGCCTCAGTTTGTCTTTGTCAGTCACATGATTCTGGAGTGAAGCCAAGGAAGTCTAGCCAGGTAGCAGGTGGCAGTTGAGCTGATGGTAACAGACTCTTTGCTCACTCATTCAAGAATGCACTGATTTATTGACTGTCAATAACAGTCAATACAAAACACACGTGTGTGTGGCTTTTCTCTTTTGTTATAACACTGGAAACATCTGTGGCAGTTTATGTGTAATAAGGAGAAATCAGTGCTACAAAATTCATAATCACAAATTTCTCCTTAATTTTCTACAAATAAAAACCATAAATAAAAACTTGTTTGTACTTTCGAACAGAAAATGTTAAAATATTCACATGACCTTGACAACAACACCTGATTAATGGCAGATAACCAACAAGGAAGTTGCTGAGACATTTCCACAGTCCTACCTGCGGGCAAAGACAGGTGAAATTTTCCGTCAGCCCTGCCAGAACCACAGAGCTGCCAGAGATTAGGGAGGAGTCTACAATAGGGGAAGTCCAGGTCCTCAAACAGAGCTGCACCTACACACTCTGCTTGGCTGGTTCAGCTTCCTGTGACCATCTTTGCTGCATTCCTGTACATTTCACTTTTGCATTATATTTAAAAACAAAAGACTAGCTACATTATGTACTCATGAAACTTGGAGAAAGGAAAGCTGCTGCAGCTGTGTGCAGAGGGAGCTCGGTTTCAATTTGGGCAAATTTCCTCCCTCAAGTACTTTAACATTGTTGCTTTACACTTTAATAATATTATTTAACATTACACCACAAAATTATGTGAATAAAATTCGTTTTTAGAAGGTAATCGTGCTTCATCTGATATCCTATTTCACTTTTTAACAATTACTCACTTAACACAACACAATGACGTGGATATGATCAAGTGGGGCTGCTGGTACACTGAGGGTACACACTGCAGGGATTCTATGCATTATAAGTTCACTATTACACACACCCGGCTCAAAATAAAGTAATGAAAAAATTATGGCAGTGCAAACATTTTTCTAAAGATTTACTAGGTCAACTTTATGCACAAAATTAAAAGATAGATTTGCTTTTCACTCTAAAAAAGAAAACATTGATAAACCGTAAGACATCAGAACAACATGATGCAATGCCTTTCTGAAAATTCTCAGCTTTTGACTTTTGTTGCTGACTTTAAAAAGAGCTCCTCATTTAGTCAAGAATTCTAGCAACCTGAACTTTCTTGTTCATCTAATTACAATATTCCTGTGTGGTTGAAAATAAAATTGTAGTTTCAGTGGTATGTATTTCCCCATTCTCAGAGGCTTGGCTTGTATTGCTTCCAGCTGGCAACCTGGGACTTTTCATCTGTTTGGCTGCTGTACTAACCACTGCACCGTGGCAACACATGGACCCTTCCTTTACAAATCATTTAGCTGATAAAACTACATTTATTTAATGTAGAATAAATAAAATGAAGAGGACACAGCAGAAGGTTAGCTGAAACACT